TGATGACAAAGGATGTAGTGGAGACTAGCAAGTTTCCAAACATGTTTGACATCTAACAAGGACAAACAACATTTAGCTCATATGACAGTAAGACCTAGTGTGGCCAGATCTTCTAATTTTGCGGTTGAAACTGGAGCCCAGGATCTTATATGAAATCTTCCAGTATTAAAATGTTGGCTCATTTCCCTCCATTTCCCAACTGTGCTTCCACACTCTTCCCATGGCCCCAGTCTCCCGAGACCCCGTTCTCCCGTCTTCTCTGTGTGTGTGATGCATGTCCTCTCTTTCTCTGGTAATCTCTTAAGCAATTTCTCAAGACTTAGATAAACTATACTCCCATCTGATGGCTACCCTTCTCTCTGCAAGATGAGGTGCTCTTCGTTCTTTCTACGCTCCTACACTGCCCTGGACATACTTCAACCAGCCCTTTTACCACACCGCCCTGGAACTGCTGCTTTTCGTGGCTTTTGTTCACCAGCCTGAGAACTCCCTCAGGGTAGGGACTTTCTAGTTGCCACCTGAGAACCTAGGGTAGGAGGGTAAGATATATGCCAAGAAAATAAAAATAGTTTAATCAAAGGGGAAAATAAAATTCAAACAAGCTAGAGAGCCAGCAGTGACAAAAGGTGATAAAGAGAAGACGAACCCGAGAGTCAGGGTTTGGAATCAAGATGACTAAAATATTCCCTGGTTGGGAAGTTTAATATAGAAGCTATGGATAAGGTAAGGGTATTTGGAGCCTGTTTTTATAGGGTGCTGAGAGTATGATAGAGACAGAGACATATCTCACTGCCTTAATGTCTTAGTACTGGGCTCCACTATTAGCTGGACAGTTTCATGAGTTTTCCTTGTCCATTTCAAGGATTCATTCTCAGTAAACCTCTTACTGAGTATCTACAGACAGCTAGGGAGCAGCAGAACCAGGATTAGAACCAGGTCTCTTAATAGCCCACTCATTTTCCACTGTAGGGAATTGGGAGAAGACAGCAATGACCTTATGGTGATGGAGGAATTTATGTGTGTCAGAGTGGTTAAGCTACAACTATATGGTTCTAGGTTAAAGTTGGTTAAAAAAGACAGTTGCTTGGGACTTGGGAAGCAGAAGTAAATCAGCAGCCATTGCTCTCTGAAGTTGTAGGGGGTTATAGTAACCACAGACATGAAAGTGCCAGCAGGTTCCAGCTCGTCTTCATTTTCCTCCTCTCCACATCCAGTTCTTCCCAACTGCTGACTCTGTTGGCCAGTAGTAGCTCCAAGCCTACCACCAGACATTTGGCTGTGAACCCACAGCCTTCTCCAATAGACTTCTCCATTAGCTCCCTCTTCATGGCCCCTATGGCATTGACTGGTTGGTGACTCCACTGATCTGTGCCAACTTCCACTTTCAGAGCTGCACTGCCCAGTTCCTCCCATAAGTGTATAAATTCTAATTCCTATAATAAATCCCTGATCCCATAACTCAGTAGTTCTGCTTCCTTAGTTGAATGCTGACTGAAATAGTGTGCTTTTCCCAAGGATGAAGATAATTGAGTGGATAGGAGAACAGACTAAGGTTAGAAGTCTAGCTTCACCAATATTTCCATAACTCTAGTGCCCCTGCATTCACTACTTCAGTAAATATTTGTTGCGTTGAATTTTTAGGTTGCTTCTACTTCTTCATTGGTACAGCTACCACTGCAAAAATCAGCTTCTGGGAAAGAGATTTCTTTGGTCTTGTTTTTGCTTTTGTTTCTTTTCTTAGGATCAATACAAGAGTACAAGAGTATGGAGTCCTTTATGGCTCAGGCTCTGAGGTTTTGACCCAGGACAGTGTCTGTTGTGCTGGCTACATGTGTTCTTCACCTCCTGGGATAGAACAGATTTTCCTCTGGCTTCAATTTTTCCCTCTCTCTCTCACCTTATGTCCCTTACAAAAGCAGAAAACCTCACTCTTGTGCATTTTCTCCAAAGAAAGTATTTCACACTCTAATCAGATTGCAAAAAAAGATATATTAGGTTACCCTTATGGGAATGCTCCTCTGGACAGGCTGAGTTGGAAGTGAGTGAAACAAAGACATCTGGAATTGGAGGCTCTGCTCACTTGGGCTGGATGGACAGCAATCAACTCTGAACCACTTAATGGCAGGGGAATTTCCTCCTTGCTACTTAGACCATTCAGCAGTTGTTGGGAGAAGACATGTTACATGCTCACTTTGCCTCCTGGAAAGTTGGGCTAAATCTTGTTTCAATTAGACAGTCATTTATGGAATGTCCTAAGCCAGTCCCTATGCTAGGTGCTGGAGATACGGCTCTTGAGGCATTTGCCACCAAAGAGGGAGGGAAACACAATGAGTTATAGCACAGTTGGACTATAGTAAGTACCAGAAGAGAGGTGTAAACAAAGCACTATGGAACAGAGTGGGAGCAATTATTCCTGATAAGGGAGTAGTGGGGTGGGAGAAGTGTTAAGGAATGTCTAGGTAGAGGGAGCTGATGGTTTTAAGCCCTAGCTAGGTTTCATGGAGGAAGGTGACCCAGAGGAGAGAGCTAACAGTTACTCATTGGTCACTGAGCTAGGTGCTGTGCATTCATTATCACATTAAATCTCCCTCAAAACTCATCTTGAGGAAACTGAGGTACAAAGAAGTGACGTACTTGTTCAAGAACTTGAAAGAGGTAGAACTGGAATTCAAACCCACATCTGTTTGACTTTCAAGGACATGCCCTCCTTGCTTCCATCTGTGCTTGGAGAATTACTTTCAAAAGACATTTGAGATGGATTATAAACAATGAGGATTTTGACAGGCTTCAAAAGGCAAGGGGTGGAAGAAGGAATGGGGTTAAAGCATTCCAGACAGAAGAATGGCAGAATGCTAGGGCAGGATGTAAAGGTGCAAGGCCTGTCTAGGGAACCTTAGGCAGTCTGGGGTGACCCTAGGAAAACAAGGCCACATGCCCACACCACTGTCTTCTCGGGGTTCAACAACATACCATTCAGTAACTCTCAACAGTGCTGGGGATTAAGAACTCAAAAACCTCACTCCTTGCTGTCCAGGAGTCTCCAATCTAATTAAGAATCTGGTGAGATAACTGCCATCACCACTGATTGCCTTATACACTTCAGCTCAGGATGTCTGTGCACATGTGCAGGTGCACATGTGCATACTCACAGGCATTACTTGGACCATTTCCTTCCCACAGCCATTTCGCAACACACATATTCCCCAGACCCTCCATAAGCGTATATTCCTTTATTACCTCTGCCTTTAGCAAGGCTTGGATTTGAACTGCTAGCCTTGACATGGTTAAGTTTATACCGCATAGCATCTCAACAATTGCCCTTTCAACCCAAGAAAGAACTGGCCTGGTCTCCTACTAGCATACTTAGAAAATAATCCTAGGGTTGCAACAAAAAGATCTTCATTAGAACTGACAAGAAAGCAAACAGCTTTTACCATTTCTCTGCAGACTTCACAAGTGCTCAACACTTCTTGAAAGAGAATATGGTTCCAAGTCTTTCATTCAGCTGGTTGGAACAGTTTTAAAAAAATGCATTTCATCTCTGGCAAGTCACAGCAGAACGTCATAAACAGCTGGAAACTCTCTGAGGTGAAGACAAGTTGGATATTATGTTTGGATTTATAGTCCCCTCCTCCATGATAGCTGATTTCCATTTCCAACAGGATTATTATTTCCATCTTATGAAATATCTTGGATCTCACCTTGGATAATTACTGATTATCATCAGTCCCTCACCTGGGGCACCTGAGCACTTGGGTGAACCTAAGAAAATTTTTTCTCCTAAAAATGAATTAGGGGAAATTCAGTGTGTGAGATTATGTGTTTATTTCTATTTTGATTTTCAATTCTCTTTAGCTTTTTAATGATCAAGTCATTAATCAGTGTCAAATCATTGTCCAGAGAACGGATAGTATTTTTGCCACTTGAGTTCCCATGTGGATTAAATAGCAATAACTTGTGTCGTTAGATTTGGTGCTCTCTTGTGAGGTATTGTGGTAATTACAGATCTCAAAACTTTCAGGCTATAGACAAAATCTGAGTGAGTTTCTTTTTGTCTTTCCAGTCACTTGCCCTCAGAATCTTGCCACATTAGGAGAAAGCCAAGGCCACATGGGGTGCCACATACAGATGTTTCTGCTGATAATCCCACTCAAGATTCCAGGCAATAGCTAACATAGCTCGTCATATGAATACGTAAGCCCTCACATGTTTCCAGATCTTAGCCTTCAAGCTGCTTCAGCTGATAACCAAAGGAGTAGACATGAGCTGTCCCCACTAAGCCCTACCCAAATTGGAGATTCACGAGCAAAATAAATTGTTTAAAATGGTTTGTTATTCACCTATGTTAACCAGAACTTGGTAATATCTGTGTTCTTGAGTTTTCTAGTGATATTTGACTTTGGATTTTTTTTTTTTTGATAATTATTTTTCTCCCCAGGCCTTGGTTTCCTCAGTTGTAAAATGGACAATGACTATGTCATAGGAATGTTGTGAAATTTAAATGATAATGCATATGAAGTATTCTTTTTATAATGGGACTTCCTTAAATGCTACCTAATATTATTTCAATGTACTTCCATCCAGTTGTCTGGATTTACTGCTATGCACAAACTCCCTTTCAGGGTTTTATATGTGTGTCATATACACTGACATATACAACCTGAATTTGTATATACACAGGCAGGTACACTGCAACATTTTAGATTCCACATTGCTCTCTTGGACCACCTGCTCTGTGAGAAGCCAGCCACCATGCTGTGAGGATGGTCAAGCAGCCTTATAGGGAGTCCACATAGTGAGAAACAGACCGCTTGCCTCACTAACTTGCCAACCACGTGAATGAGCTACCTGGAGGATCAGCCCCAGGCAGCCTTGATCATTCAACTGTTGGGATGACTGCAGCCCCAGCTGATATTCATGACTGCAACTTCTTAGTGATCCCAAGCCAGAAGCACCCAGCTAAGCCACTCATGATTCCCACAGACACTGCGAAAACCATATGAAATGAAAAAAATATATATTATTTTAAGGAACTGAGGTTTGGGATAATTTATTATGCACTAATAGTTGACTAATAGGAATATCAACAGGGAAGGTGTGTAGGGGAGAAGCTGATCCGAGGTTGAGGGCTGTTTTAGAATCTACGTGGAAGGGCACCGGTGGCTGAATGGACTTGAAAGTGCTGGTAAGACCTGTGCCTGAAATAAATGATCACGGTTTCCAGGGTGGAAAGGGAAGAACGCCAAAGGAGGGAAGAAGTACTTGGAACTGGGACACTGTGAACTGCAGTTCACCGAAGCTGAAGTTGAAGAGCAGGTTTGGTGAAGGTAGAGGAGTAAGATATCTGTAATAAAAGAAAGTTTTGTTTAGAACGTGGAACACCTTGGTTACTGAGTCTAGAGGTGGAACAGTTCTGGGGAACAAAGTGCAGGACATAGTCACAAAAGTGGGTGGTCAAATGGCAGTGCTTGGGAAAGGTTTTTATACCTTTCTGGTGAGTATAAGGGCAGAGTGGACAACAGAGCAATCTAAGCTGATGACAGCAGACCGCTGAACATCTGCAGAAGATCCCTTCATCTCTAGAAGGATGGCAGGAAGGTGGAATGGAGTTTGTATGGCTTGGTAAAAGCCTCATTGCAGGGGTAGTTGGTCTGGAAGTTGCAGTGACAAGTTAGAATGCCAGTCTTACTTCTGGTTCAAGATATTGAAGATGGGGGTAAAAAGAACTCTACTTGAAAGGGAAGCAGTAAACTTAAGCAAAACATCAGATTTCAGACAAGATAAAGTGACAGCAGTGCTCTAGAAAAAATTAGATGTGTAAGGGTTTCTTTGCATTTAGCATGGGTTTGCTTGGGAAAAAAAAAAAGCTGAACTTTATTCTGTTGGCAACCGGGAGCCACTGGAAAATGTTATGCAGGTAACTGACATGAGCTTTGAATTTTAGAAAGCTCACCCTGACAGCAGTGGCGACATGTGGATGTACTGGCAATGAATGCAGACAGGTTCCTTTGGAGCAAGAGGGTAGGTAAAAAGGTCCATTCCCCACAAGTGACAGGCCTTACCATCAGCCCACCAAAACAATGGGGTCAGCTATTTAGGAAGTAGACTACAGAATACAATAGACGGTGAGGGAGAAGAGTACAGGCCTCGGTCAGACCTTTCACCTTTTGGAGGCTGTTCTAGATTGTTCAAAGCATTCCTGAATCTCCAATGAGCCTGGATATGTAACTGCTAGCTATCCTGAGTTTACTTTCTTACTTTTCCCCGCAAACCCACTTATTTTCATCTACTATTTGATATTCTACTTATATTATTTTGGTCTTGCTATTTCCACTTTTACTGCTCACCTTGGCTATAACAGTGGTTATTAAAATTTTCCAGAAGTAAGAATCCAAGGGCAGTGTTGTACAGTGGAAAAAGCAGCAGCCTTTAAGTTAAAAGGGCTGTTTTCCAGTCCCAGTCCTGCCATGAAATTCCTATGACTTTGATTAACTCATTTGACTTCTTTGGATCTCAGTTTTTTTCATTTAGAAAATCAATCTCTTAAGGTCTTAATTAATTTCAATCTACCTACCTGTATAATACTACCAGGAGCTTAGCAGTTGGTTTCATGATAATGGTAAAATCCACCTTCTCCAATGTAACACCACAAAATTAGAATGAGGAATGGCAGGCATCCTGAAGAATTTTGTTTTTAGAAACTTGCTTACCATGCTTAATCAACAGAAGAATACTGTTTGGGACAGGTATTGTACTCCAATACATTTTCCCAGACTACAGGTAGTTATATCTGGTGGCATATTAAGTCTTAGTTTTTCTTCTTTGGAAGTTAAGAGGAGGGTGACTCTCACGTTATTTACCACACATTTCCTGGAGTTAAATTTCCTTCACTTGAAAATCGTGGCTCTACTACTTAGTAGCTTGCTTCTTTGGAAAAACTATTTAACCTCTCGGTGCCATACTTTCTTCATCCATAAAATGGGGAGAATAGTGTATCTCATAAGGCTCCTGTGGAGAGCAAACAAGTTAATGTATGTAACATCATCTGGAACAGAAAGCCTTGGGTAACTATGAGCTATTATTCTTATGTGTTAGGCACTAGAGTGCACATCCCTCTCCTTAGAAAGCTCATTGTCTGGTTGTGAAGATTTTCAAACAAATTATTGTAACTCGATGTTCTGAGTTATGTAACAAGATGTGTAGTAAGTGGTGTAGGAGCAGAGTCAGGAATGCCTGTCTCATCCTAGAGGGAGAAATAGTGGGCGAATTCTTGAGGGTGAAGTTTAAGTCTGACCTTAAGGAAGAGAATTTAACATAGGGGAACATTTGGGGATATGGAGCGGTTGGAGGAAGCATGGGGAAGGCAGTTGCTGGCTGCAGAAGACAAACATGGCTAGGAGGAGAGGGAGGATGTGTGGTAGATGACAGGTAGTTGATGCCAGAGCAACATCACTTAAGAGTTTGTTAGAAATTTAGATCTTAGGCTGTACCCAGAACTACTCAATCAGAATTTGCATTTTAACAAGACCTCAGGCAGTTCCTACTGAACATGGTTTGAGCAGACTCTGGAGCCAAGCTGCTCAGTTCTAAATCCTGGCTTTACCATTTACTTACAATGTGTTGACTTCAAGCAAGCTATTTAACCTCCAATGTCTCAGCTTCATTTGTAATTAGAGATAATAGTTTCTACCTCATAAAACTGTTAAAAGGACTAAATGAATTACTATACGACATGCTTAGAACAGTACTTGACACTTAGTGAGCATACAGATAAGCTATAATAATTGACTCATATATATTTATTAGGGTCAGGGTCAGTTTTCTACTCCAATACCTGTCACCTAAACATTTGTTGTGGAGAAAGACACTTGGAAATCAGAAGAACTGGGGTTATAAAGCCCAGCTTTCTTCAATTCTTAGTTTTGTGAAAGTAGGTGAGTTCTTGAATACCTGTGTTTTTCTTATTCGCAGTGTGTGTGTTCTTAATTAACCTGCTTCACTGAGACGCTGTGAGGCTCAAATCAAAGAATATATGTTGAAGCACAAAATCTTCCATCAAGGTTTCATTTACCATCATTCCAAAAGTTCTTACGTAATTAGCCTGAAAACAGGTGGTGCTGCAATTTACAGGAAACAGAAAAGAAAGCATTGGAAAGGAGAGCCTGGAGATTTGTCCCACTTCACGACTTTCTGAAGGAGCAGGCTTGGATTTCAACAATAGCAATTTCCCTGGACTTCAGAGAGTATTTTTAGCTAATGGGCAAGTAGTAGTAGGAAACTTAAATGCTGTTAATATTGTCTCTCAACCTACAACTTCATTCAATGACATGGCAGTCTCACTCTCATGTTTGTATAGTGGTCCACAATTTAGAGATTAACTTTCTTCCTACGCTGTGTATCACAACGACCCCATAGGGTAGTATTAACACCATTTTTGCAAGAAAACTTTAATATCAGAGAGCATATTAAACACTCCTCTTGATGTGAGCACTTTTACCAGATCCAAAGTTTCCGAAAGAACAAAATTTGATCTGAACCTTCAACAATATCAGGCACTAGTTTTGATTTAATGGCTGCGAGTAACTATATACCCTTTTTCTCAACCGTAAAAGAGGCAACAATACCTTTCATACAATTGTGTGATTAAGAACAAAGGTTCAAGGGTGAACCTACCACGTCCCTTTTCCTTCTTGCCTTTGACAGATAGAGCAGGAAAAATGACTATCCTTCCCACTTCACCGTGGAGAAACCCGAAGTCGAGAACGCTTGGGCTCGCGTCCTTGACATGCCACTCCGCAACCCCCAGATCGGGTACAGCTACTGCGACGTCCACTATGTCCGTTCTCGCAGCGTGGGTTATGAGTTCTCGAGTAGCGTCTGGAGAGACTGGAGCCGCTGATAATTGCTCCCATGAATCTGAGGAATCATCCTAATTCTCAACAGCACTCTCGGGAACGAAGCAGCTTTCCTACCGTCTCTAACCTCGCCTAGAGTAAAGGTCGCAGCAAATCCTCGGCTCCAGTTTACGACGACATTTTGACCGCTACGTGCATCACACGTAGCAGAACGCGCAGTCTTTTGGCTGGGAGACTGCACGGGAGAGGCGCACGAAGCCAGGAGGGTACGCGAGAGAAGCCAAGAAAACCACAATCCCAGCCTTCCTTGCGCGTACGACAGCATACGGAGAGTGAAAGAGGAGGGAGTGTGGGTTCGGACCACAGCTCCCAGCAACCCTCGCGGCGCGTCTCCTTTACTTTCAAAATGCGTTGGAAAAGAGGGACAGGGAGGATGAAGGACCTTCTGGCTTCTGTTCTCGGAAAGGCGGGAAAGGCGGACTACACCTCCCGACGGGCGGCGCGCGGCTGCGCCTGCGCCCTGATACCTGTCGCCATCTTGCCCCTTCTGAGGCACCGCAAACAAACCCAATTCCTGGTGTCCCCTAGTCTTGGCGGAGGAGCCTTTTAGATGAGCCCCGAAAGGCCGGGCAGGTGGGTGACTCGCAGACAGGGTGCTGGGAAAGGCTGGCAGGTTAGCCAGGCCGGAGAAGCGCGGGGCCAAGCATTCGGAGGCCAGCTTGGGGAGCCCAGCCCCATCCTCCGTTGTCTCCTAACGGGACCGTGGGGCTCCCTGAGGTGGGCTGGTGGAAGGCCTAGTCCTAGGATCCCGGGGGGTCCAGCTCTGGGAGCTTCCGGGTGAGTCTCGGTCGTCTGCCTGGCTGTCCGCACCCCTACCCTTTCTCCGTTGGCCCCTCTGCTGAGGAAGAGCGAGGCTTTGATGCCGCCGGAGCCCGTGACACCGGCTACTGGTTCCAAAGGGCTTGGGTCGTGGGCTTGACATTGGGGTCGGCGCTTAGCTGTACGCGTGAGGAGGGTGAGCGGGCAGCTCTTGTTATGGTGCTGCGAGGGAGTGCGTGTTTGAGGAGGGGGCGGGGCGGGCTTGCCTCGTTGACACTTGAGTAGGGGAAGGAGTATACGAGATCCCGGTTTCTGGACCTAGTTCCGGCAACTGTTGCCCAGGTTCCCAGTGCGTTGTAGCCCCACGGTGGGGTCCGCTGGTGGGGACGCGTCGGGATGCAGTGACGTGGTGCTTGATTCGGGCGGTCGCCGGCCGCCTCCGAGATCCTGTTGGAAGGCGGGGTCTGGCTTGCGGAGCGAGCGGATTCCTTTGGCTCGTCCCCTTCTTCCAACTCCCCACCCCTTTCTTTATGTCATCCTGCTGGCAGGGGCGCGCTGTCCAGTTTTTCTTGCTCTGGGTTGGTTCTTAGCTGAGAGGACTATGGGAAGTAGGGGGAGGGGGCTCACCTCCGGGCGTTGAGTTGTAGTTAGCAGCCCCAGAGCCTGGAACGGGATATAGCAACCACGTTTGGGTCCCAGACTCCTAGACTAGACAGTGAGTTCGCTCATTCATTCGTTCATTTGACTCACTCGTCTCAATCATTCATTATATAATTAACAAATATTTACAGCGGATCTACTGTGTCCTAAGCAGGTATTATCGAAGCGCCCAGCGCTGTTGCCTTTTTATCTTCTAGGCCAAGGAATAAATCCCAATACGAAATTAGTTCTTGACATCTTAACTTTTGGTAAATAGTTGTTTAAAGACTACAAGGTGTAAATTCATTGTGCATTGTTAAGCTTTGAGGAGAAAGCTCTTTATATGGTGCTACGAGCTTTACAAATTTTATCTAGTGTAACTCATAAGTGATAAAGCCGACAGAAGTCAAGTAATTTGCCCAAGGTTACACAGGTAGTAGCGCCTACTTATTAAACAGAGTACCAGCTACTATGATAAGAATTTCACATGTACTGTTTTTTAACCCACGTAACAAACTGGTAATAATAACTCTTTTTCCGATGTGTAAAGCTTTTGTTCAGGCCAATTTACTCAGGATCATACAGCCAATAAGTTGAAGGTTGGAACTAGAACCTAGAGGTTTCTGACTCTAAAGCCTGTGCTTTTCTGCTGTCACAGGCTGGAACAGTAAGTGCCCAAATGGTGGTTTAGTTCTTCATATGCCAGAAGTTGGAAAGCATGTGGTGAAATAGGATTGTGAGATAAACTCTTACTGGTTTTACTTCTTAGCATGTGGGTCTCCCGTGGGCCTTTTGAATGTATTTTGGTAATTTGATTTTTTGTTTTTTGTTTTGTTAGGGAAGACAAGCTCTTTGGGGCTACCAGAAAGAAGCAGCAATGCCTGTTGTGTGGCCAACCCTTTTGGATCTCAGCAGGGATGAATGCAAAAGGATTCTTCGAAAATTGGGTATGATATTCATTTTTGATGTTTATGCCTTTTTAGACAATGTTTCCCTTTCTGTTTGGGTCATGGCTGTTTGCATAATATCATATTTCATGCTGCATTAGAAATTCTTTAGAGGTATAGTTCCCATCTTATTTATTGTTGTTTCCCCAGTGCCTAGCACAGTACTTTGTACATAGTAGGTGCATGAATCATAATAATGATAGTAGTAGCCAAGAGTTCTTGAGGGGTACTGGGCTATTCTGAATCCTTTACATTCAACATCTCATTTAATTCTCACTCAAAATAAAAAGGTAAGTATTTCCCCCTTTTTGTCCCATTTTGCAGATGACAAAACTGAAGCTTAAAACCCAAGGTAATGCCTTGTAGTAAGAGAGTCAGTATTTCAACCCAGGGAATATGATTCCAGTCTCATTTTAGCACACTTTTAACCTTCATGAATGTATGTGTGATTTAAATGCTGTTTCTGAATTCTAAATTGATGTAAGCTGGCTGACTTTCCCAAATTGTGTTATCAGTAATAAAAAACCCTTTATGCTTGTGATGAATTGTTTAGTGTTACTTTTCCTTTAGAGAAGCCTTTTTCAACTAGCATTTAAGGAGAGAATTAAATCCTACTGCTAAGGCATCCCTTGCATGTAATGAACTAACTTCTCCTTGTGCATTTAGAATGGTATTAGTTATGTACTATCCTTGGGAAAATTGAGAAAAAGAATTGTTCAAATCATTTTCTGTATTCTCTAGTACAAATGAGGCTCCTTGGTTGAGAAATGCTACCTTAAACTGTAAGGTAGCATTTACCAGTTGTCTCATTTACCAGTCATAGTCTCAGGCTATCACATAGTAGGTGCTCAGTAACTGAAAAAATAATTTGAAAAAGAACATTAAATGTTTTGGCAATGGATATAAATTATTAAGTTGTCTATGATTTTGAAGGGGAAAGTGTGGGCCTTGAATTCAGACATACCTGGGATCTTGGTCCTGTTACTAGTGACCTGTGTGATTAAGGACAAAGTTATTAACTTAATGAGGATTAATAATGTCTGCCTCACAAGTTTGTTATGTGGCTTAACTGTAAATAAAAAGGGTCTGTCACAGTGCCTGACAATCTGAGTGTATAGTGTTTTAAAGCAATTGCTTTCAGATATTTATTTGCATAAATTTGTGGGAAATTTCTGTATGTAAAATTGAATCATAGCTGCTCTTTGCCGTTTTTATTTCCCCTCAGGCCGTTATGAGAATATCTCTATTTTAAACTACTTAGCATTATATTTTAGCCTCTGGAGAGCTTTTTTTGGTCAATCATTTCTTTGCCTGCCCTTTTTTTTTTTTTTTTACTTACACCAGCACTTTTAGTACTGATGTGAGGATGGTTTTCTGCACACGTGCATACAATTGGTATAACTTGGTAGTTACCATTTATAAAGTTAGATTTGTATTTATTTTATAGCTGAAATAATTGGAGGGGAACAGATCACAACTACAGTACCTTGGATTAGAGTTTCTGGGCTTTGGGGTCTTGAATCAAGAGATTATGTTAAATCTAAAATCATAACCTTTAAGTCTAAATTTATCCTTAATTTTAACCAGAGTTGTATGAGTATTGCTGCTGGAGAGCTGCTTCTATACAAAAGAAAACAGCCTTCCTACAGGGTAAGGTCATCTTCAGTGACCCTTCACTTTGGGAGGTGAGCCTTCATAGTGATTTGCAGGACGACTTCCTCCCCACCCATTGGCTCATTATCATAACAATGAAACCTTTGAATTGCCTTCAAACTCTTAGCTCAAGGTCCAAAGTTTAGAGAAAGCACTGTATTTAAGAATTAGCTGTGTTGTTTTAAAAATAGTTATGGATCACTTTAATGTAAGATGCTAAGATTTTACTTAAATATGAAAACAGGGGGATAGAGAATTTTGATATACTGAACATACCAGTAATAGATAAACACTTACTTTTTTTCGTGCCTCTCCCTGCCCCACCCCCCCTTTCTGATGACCATTCCTGAGCTGTAACTCTATAACACTGGGCTTTGTGGGCTACAGTATAATTGAATGGCTTATTTATTTAAATGGCATGGGTTGAGGGCTTTATAAAAATGGTTTAGCAGATCTTTTGTTTTCTGTGGTGTTTGCAATATGTTTATTATACCTATGTGTCACTACAGTTAACACTGTAGTAGAATGGCACCAAAAATAATACCAGAAATTCAATGAAGTTTGATATTTGTCAGGATCTGAGAATACACATCAAAATGGAAATAACAAATGTGAAGGAGGTTGGGAAGCTAAAGGTTCTTTACCGAGAGTGAATTTCTGGAGGAGAGGAAGTGCCTTGGACTGTATAGCTATGCTAACTGAGTCCCAGTTTGGTGTGACTGTTGCTACCCCTTACTTATGTGAATGACTTTTTAGTTAGACTTGGTGAAAGGGTATCTCGCCGCGATCCTCCTTACCCAGAATGACTCAGGAGACACGGGCCCACGCAAGAGATTTTATTATCTGAAGGAGAGTGGCTGCCCCAGAGGGGGTGGGGAGAGAGAGAGAGAGAGCGAGGGAGCAGCAGAGAGAGCAGCGGGACAGAGACAGAGACAAAGAGAGGGCAGCGAGAGAAAGAGCAGTGAGTGAGAGAGACAGAGAGAGAGAGAATAGCAAGTGAGAGAGGCAAAGAGACAGACTGAGAGAGAGGGCAGCAGCGTGGTGCCATTTATTGTGGCGGATCCGCTCGGCCTGTTGCTTTGGGGGAGGGTCAGGATGTTTGGAGATAAGGCGGGGTAAACCCAGTCAAGCCCCATGCATAATTCTCATCGGTTTATGTACTTGGGACCATGGGGCAAATGGAGGATAAATTACTATATTCTTACATTCCTCCCTTTTCTGTTTTATAAGTGGTAGAGGATTTGAGAAGGGGTGAAGGTTAGTCTTCAGTAACTGCTTCCTGCTGATTAGGGGCGATGAAGTTCATTTTTGTACTGATGGGGGGGTGGTCCTCAGATGAGCCCTTGGTCTGCAGTGACGATGGCATTTTCCAGGTTCAATAAGGATCATCATCTTTGGAGATGGGTTGGCAATCCTGTAATATAAGCTGGTTAAAGGTTTGGTTAGAAATTTTTTGCATTTGGCCTGATTGCTGTTTACATAGGGTGGCTGAATTAATAGCATTTTTTGGGACATATGTGTAGGCAGCAAAGCGACCTGTAGGGGAAAGGGAATCCTTGATGGTGCAATCTTTTGAACAGTCTGAAAGAGAAGAAAGGGCTGACGTTGGGAAGATAGGTCTGGTGAGAGAGTAAGTGTTGAGACCAGGGTTAATAATCTTCAAGCATGACGCCTGGCGGTTGTAAGGGAAGTCTTAGGACTCTGTGCTGGCAGAAACTTCAGTGATGAGTGGAAGTGGAGATGAGCAGCGCGAAATGCGGAGAGTAAGAGGTCCCGTCAGGGTGGAGGAGTGGGAACCTGTGGGAGATTTGGTGGGAGGGGAATAAGCTGAGACAAACGGCTTAAGGTGGGAGTTGTGTATCTAATGGGGAAGACCCTGGAGTTTAACTGCAGTTGGCTTTGAAAGGATTACTCTGTATGGTCTTTGCCATTTGGGAGCTAGGGATGGTGTGGCTTGTTTGGAATGGGCATGGTTTGGAGAAGTTTTTTCCTGTCTATGGTAATCGCCTTGTAGCGCGGGGAGAGCTGAACTCCCAGGTATGTGACCCAAGCGGCAGACAGCTGAACTTTGGAGGGTGAGACCGGATAGCTGTGTTCTGAGAGAATAATATCCTGTTGAGAGATTTGTAGGGAGGGACTGCACGGGAGGAGATCATCTACATATTGCAGGAGGGTGGAGCTCGAGAGAGTAGGGGATTTGAGGTCTAGTGTTAGAGCCTGTCCAAAAAGGTGGGGACTATCTCTAAAGCCTTGGGGAAGGACTTGTTAAGTGTTCTCTGAATATTAAAAATTAACTTAAGGAATTTCCTGCCTTGGCTTTTCTCTGGGATACTGGTGTCTTGGTCTGGGAGCATATCAAAAGGCTGCCTGCTCAGCTCCCTAGGTGGGCTGAGGCATTGTCTATTTGCTAAAGAATCCTGCCTTTTACTAAGCCGTCTACAGCTGGGTCTGCATGCTAGGTTAGTTGCTCAGTTTGCAAAATTACCTCTTCAGATCTGAAGGAGAAAAGACAGCACATAGGCCT